CAAAAAAAAAAAAAAAGTATTCAATATTGCTGGCCATTAGAAAAAATGCAAATAAAAACAACACTGACATTCCATCTTGCTCCAGAAAAAAAATGGCTATCAAATTATTTTAATTAATAATATCTTCCTATATAACATTAAAATAAATAAATAATTTAAAAATAAAGAAAAAAGTGTTCAGCCCAAAACATATACTGAATCCCCATGGCCATTCTCAAAGTCTGGGTTGCTCAAGAGCTAAAGGATTAAAATAAATGTCTCTTCTACTGGTGAGTGTCAAAAAAGGGGGTAAAAATAATCACAAATGCTAGTGAGGCTGTCAGGGAGAAAAGAGAGTTCTGATTTTTTTTCATTACTGGGAATTGAACTCAAGACCTTGTGCTTGCCAGGCAGGTGGGGTGCCACCGAGCTACATCCCCAGCCCAAAAAGGAGCTCTTCTACATTGCTGGTAGGAATGTAATCTAGTACAACTACTATGGACATCAGTATGGAGATTCTTCAAAAAAGTAAAAATAGAAATCCCATTTGACCCAGCTATTAGACCTACTAGGTGTCTTCCCTAAAGAGTTAAAGATATATTACAGTAATACATACATACCCATGTTTATAGCAACACAATTCATAATAGCGAAATCTTGGAAGTGACATACATGCTTATCAACAGATGAGTGGATAAGGAACATGAGGTATTTATACCCAATGTAGGACTAATATGCTATAAAGGATAAATTGGAGTCATTTGTAGGAAAATGGATGCATATTGAGACCCTAATATTAAGTGAACTAAATCAGACATAGAAGCTTAAATATTGTATTTCTCTTACATGAGAAACCTAAAGTATAATAAATTAAAGAGCAAAGTAAAAGATAGAAAATAGGAAACAGGGTGATCTTTCGCAAATAAGAAGGCGACTAAGAGGTAGAGGGAGGATGAAAGGAGGGAAAGGGAGTTAAATATAAAAAGAATTGAGATGTGTCATGTAATACATCAACTACCACAATGAATGTATTTATTACATACTAAAAACATGGAGTAATAAAAATAAACAAAATAAATTTATTAATTTTAATTATCAATAAATTATTAGTTAACCAAACCAAACAAGTATAAAAATAACAGCAATTTTATATTACAACATACTGTTGTGGCAAAGTGAAACAGCTTAGTATTACAGCCAAGTGTTACAGCTACAGCAATTTGAAGACTCGAGATTTGGAAAGTTACTTGAAGAGTTGGAGGAAAATCTTTTAGCTGGCTGGCTCAGAGGAGTTTGCTCACTCTGAATTCTGAGAATTGTAGTGAGAGTCCATGTATACACAGTTGGGGAAAAGAAGTTGAGAGGAACTTTTTAGGGCAGAGACAGAGCCAGAAGTGGGAAACTTAGGTAGAAACATCAGGTATTAGCAGTCACATTGCTTGAACAAAACACTTTTGATACAGTGAGCAGGTACGTTGTGCAGCACAGTCAAGAAACATTTAGATACTTTGGGTGGGAACACTGTACAGCCCAAAAGGTTACATTTCTGGTACAGAACATTTATGGAAAAAAAAATGGAGACAAGGCAAAGGCCTATCCTATTTAGTGTTATTGCTTTATCATTTTTGTATCAATACTGGAATTTATTATAGGTGCACAAGGTTGAGTCAACATTCAAAAATCAATTAATATAATCATATCAAAAGACTAAAGATGAAAAATGATATGCTCCAATCAATGAGGGCAGAAAAACTATTTGATAAAATTCAACACCCATATAAAAAACATCTCAGCGGGCTGGGGATTTAGCTTAGTAGTTCCGCCACCTGCCTTGCAAGCGCAAGGTCCCAAGTTCAATCCCTGGTACCAAAAACAAGTAAATAAAATAATAATAATACTAATTTTAAAAAATTTAAAATCTCACAAACTAGGAATAATGGTGTGACTGGCTGAAAGTGTGTGCCCCACAAAAATTCACATGTTAAAACTGTAAGCCCCAGTGTGATGGTATTTGGAAGGGGCATCTTTTACAAGAAACTAGGTTCAGATGAGGTCATGAGAATGGAATACTTATGGTGTGATAAAAATACTGTACCCTAATAAAAAAGATACACCACACAGGTTGATATCCCCCCTCTCTCACCCTCTCCCTCTCTCCCTCTCTCCCTCCTTCCCTCC